GATATACTTTTTTTTTTCTGTATTTTTGATCAAATAAATGCAGCCTTCATGAGCTTAAGAGACTTCTTTAAAAAAAACATTACAAGTCTTACCAATCCCAAACTTTTGAGCGGTAGTGTGTGTATATGTGTGTGTGTGTGTGTGTGTGTGTGTGTGTGTGTGTGTGTGTGTATATATAATATATATATATATATATATATATATATATATATAAACCAACAACTAGCTTTAAATACTATTATTCATTTTATATTTTCAGTTTTCATTTTAGTTTTAGGTTAAGTTTCAGTAATCTTATGTGCTTTTGTCATTTTTACCTTTTTTGGCTTTATTTTTATTTCAGGTTTAGTTTTAGTAATTTAAAAGTTTTTTTTAAGTTTAGGTTTTTCTAATCTGTTTATATTTTATTTTTGCTTTATTTCAATAATGAAAATATTTTTAATAGTTTTAGTTTTAACAATAACACTGTTACTGACTGACAGTTCAGTTTAGGCTAATTTTTAACCCTGTTACCCAATATGGGGTTAAACGATTTTTTTATGTTTTTTTTTTTTTAAGTTTTATTTTTAATAATGTTGAATTAATGTTTTTTTCCCCTATCAAAATATAGAAAGCACACAAATCAGCAAATGTTGGAAAACAGGGTTGCATTCGGGGCTGCTATAATAATGTAATGCGCTTGAGTTGTCTTTAATTGGGGGCTTTTCTGGGTAAATATCAATTTGATTAATTAATCTGCATATCGGTGATAATTCATTCATAATTTTTAATCGATTGACAGCCCTAGTTATCAGCATTACTACTGTGAGCATGTCATGTCTTTGAGTCACAGCATCCAAAATATGAATTAGCAGGCCGTTAATGTTCAGATGAGCTTTGTCCAGTAAAGCCACTTATATTATTATGAAATGGGAACAAAGACATTGCAGCAATGGAGGAGTCGCATCTTCATTAGGTTTATTTTGATTAGATCTTGTTTGCTAAACAAATTCACAGAAAGGTCATAAATCTTGTCTTGATTTCATGGATTAGTCACATGGCTCACAGGTCAAGCATCTTGCATGATGTTTGAGTAGATCAAGGGGTTTAAATCATGGGAGAATTAAAGGCCTGAAGTCTTTTATTCTCTGTTGTTGACTTTGGGTTGGCTTTTGCTCCAGATTTAGCCCCCTGTGACGGAGGCTTCGGTTGCACTGACCGTATAAGAAGAGCCAGATCGCTCTTGTATCTAGCAAACACCTGTCACCATAACCCCTGAGCCACACAGCATGTATGGAAATGTTACTCCTCCTGCTGCCCTGTGTTAGGCAGGACATGACATGACTTTGCCTTTCAAGCAAAAGAAGAAAATGAGGAAAAGAACGCTTGATCTCAAACCTTGCTGTACTTTGTGTTCTCTAACTAACCCCTACCCAGGAGTTTGCATAATTAATCAAATCCATGTATTTTGTTATTTCAGAAGAGATACTATGCTGTTATGAAATCAAAATTTGGATCAACCCATGTCTGTTAGTGTTGAAGCCATGTAGATTTGAGTTGGGTTTGCCCACATTTTTGTTTAGTAAAATGCTATCTATAATGAATAATTGGGTGATATATTAAATATGTTGAGTATATTCCCTAAATTTTTGTGGTGGTGATTTATAAAATTAAGCAACATGGTGAATATTGCAATGATTTAAGCATTATTGGAATAGTCCAGGGGTCTCCAACATTTTTAACACCATGGACCGGTTATATTTTGAAAATATTCTCGTGGACCGGCTGGAGTGGGGTGGGGTTTATATATATATAAAATTTTTGTGTTTCAACGGATCATATTGTGGTTTTTGAGTCACGGATCGGATGATTTTTCAAATAAGCACGGGAATGCCGGGAAGGGTTTTTTGACAATGTTATATGTATGTATCTCAAACGCAAAAAGACATGAAAGAGGAATCAACTCTGTATTCGCACGCTGTCTGAAACACGTCTCTGTACGTGTGCGCGCTTCTGGTGTGTGAGGCTGCTGTGCACACCGAAAACAGCGCGAGGAAAGAATCGAGTTCTCTTTCGCTTCTTCTTATGGTTTAAAATCGCTTGAACGTGTAGATTGCCAAATTAATCTGCGAATCACATGCGTGCCGAACTGTGGGGCCTGGTCCATATGTATCACGGATCAACTGCGATCCATTTAACCCCTAATATATGACAGATCAGAACAATCATTCATTAATTAATTGAACATTTAATTTACATGAAATCGTCAAATTGCTACTCCATAGCAATCGCATACAACAAACGAAAATACAGAATAATCAGTAACACGCGATAAATAGAGTGTCATACACATTTTACCCAGAACGTTCTTGCGACCAGGTAGTAACACTTCCACGGCCCGGTACTGGGTTGTGACCCGGTGGTTGGGGACCTCTGATTTATAGTAAATGACCAAATATTATTTAGATTAGATTTAGATTTCATCCAGCGCTACTAGAAATATCATGTCAGCCAGGTCTGTGCCTTCAACTAAAGGCTATTGACCTTATAAAAAAAAATGTTGCAATGTAACTTACTTACTGTAACTTGAAGATTGAAGCAGGACAGAAACGTATGCTTGTGATTTCATGGAATCTTTAAAAAGCCTTTATAGAAATAACAAAATACATTCCATAAAGATTGTATGACCTAGTTCCACCCTGAAAAATGAAATCCACATTTTGCTGTTTTCATATTTCTGTAACGTGCTACTGCTGATTTTGCCTTTGCTGTGGGTGCAGGTGGGCTCAGTGGTGGCGGTGGGCTGGATCCGCTCCAAGAAGGCTGTGGACTGGCGTCTCTTCCGGAACATCTTCCTGGCCTGGTTTGTGACCGTCCCTATAGCAGGCCTCTTCAGCGCTGCTGTCATGGCCCTGTTTGTCTACGGCATACTGCCTTACATTTGAGATGGAAAATGGGGAAGAGAGGGAGGTATAGGAAGGTAATGATGAAAAAATAAAACCCAGACGCAGACAGAAAAAGTGGACAGCCAGAGGGTGGGGGGAGTCTTCAAATGCTGCCTGGAAAAGCATCCAGAATCATTTGACTTAAATATCCTTAATCTTGTCAAGAGTATTTATTTCCGTTTTGATTTTCTATTGTTTTGTTGAAATGTTACCATAAACCGTAAGATCTTTGACTCATGATTTCAAATGGTACATTTTCAAAGTTCCAAAAAATAACTCTCGTACATTTGTGGTCCTACATGTCCAAGGGAGTAAACAGATGGAGAACTGGACACATATGCACATACAAATACTCATACAATTGTCAATATCGCAAAAAAAAAAATAATATCAGTACATGATGAATGGGACTAGAAAATTGGTTTTATGGCACAATGTTATGGCTACTAACTTCTCTTGGGCCTCTAAATGTATTGTTTTAATATGCATCATGTGTGGTGTGTTGTAATCGCACTTTTATTCCCATTCGCTGAAACATCAAACTTCTACGTAAATGACACTGAGATCAGCATCCTGCTGTTCAAAACCTACATTAGGTGCATTGCAAAAATCATACCTCAGTCAACACTCTATGCTACATAAAAGACAAGTGACAAAACTCATAATATATGAAACATTGAAATAAGATGAATCATTTTCGTAGTGGTTAATGTGTATGAATTCCCTGTTCTTTTATTGTTGTATTTATTTTTAGATATGTTACCATTCATACCTTTTTTAAAACACAAGAGGTGTGAAGACAAAATCATATTTGGAACTATGTATGCTACTATAATTTCTACTGTGTATATATTCAGCTATGGATTTTAGATTTTTAGTTATTCGAGGTCTTATATTGTTACATTTAAGGAGACTTTAGACCAGGTTTGTAGTTGCATGAAACATGCTTTCCAAGCATATGAAAAATATCAAATATTCAAAAATGATTTTACTATGACAAGACACTACATCCATAATCCTGTCATCATGAGTATATCAAAAATCAACTTTTTCTTCCATTGCCTACCCTAAAAGATCCTCATATCAGTGAAAAATAAATCATGCACCATCATTTAAAGATATAAAAATATGAGGAGCGGGTTAGGATCATAAAGGAGTCTCATCTGAGGTATTAAATTTTAAACTTTCTGTAATTCACCTTTTGTATACATATCAATAGGTTATTTTTTTTTTCTCTTTTTGGAAGATTAATAGCCAAACATTGGCTATCAAGTTTAATTGCAATACTCTTTGACAGTGTTTGTAATAACAATCTAAACAATATCCAAACAAAAGTAATCGGTTGACTCTGTATTGTGGATACAGGATGCTAGTAGTTCAGTCTAGCAATAGTATATCATGTTCTTAGAGCCCAACGGATGATGCCAATATAAATACCTGTATGTGCCAGGACAGCCAAAATCACTTACGGTGAACCCATAAAACCAACACAAACACACAAACGTAGATTTACCCACTTCATATACAGTATATAGGAGGTATCGAGAGACAGTGTTAGACACCGGGCCTTTCAGTGTCGTATCAGCATTCAGTACTGATATCACAGAGGTTTATCAGAAGAGAAATTTGTTTAACATCAGGTCAGGATGTGATTCAGTGGCACAAATGTGTCATTTAAGGAAAGATCAATATGTAACAACCTATTTGTGGCCCTGACCCCACAAGAAACCAAAAAGTCTTGTGATTTCAGTCCAAAAATGGCCAGGCTCACATCAAATGACCATGTGATATCAGTTGAACTGGGCTTAGATGTTTGTCAGACACCATTGTAATCTGCCTCGGGATAGTCACCAGATTTGGAAACTGTACAAATGTGTGGCTTTGAACCAATGCAAAGTGTTGCGCTTGCTTTCTTTCTTTCTTTTTTTTTGTGTGTGTGTGTATTACTTTTGTTTTTATTTTTCATTAAGAACAAAGCTATGCTTATATGGCCATTTGCCCTGTAATGTTGTGCTTTACTGTTTGTTGGATACAGTAACTTCAGTACTGTGGTGTTTACATTGTAATCATATTGTAGAATAACTCATTGCAGTGGCCTAAAAATGCCAATCAACTAACTATTAATCACAAATTAAATATGAAATAACCAGGCATAGTGCAAAGGTGTTTCATGTCATTTTGTGTTTTAGCAGTGTGAATAATAATGATCCTGTTACATCACACTGCTATATGTAGTACACAACTTTACATGGTGGATATGATTAAAAAAATAATAAAAGAAATTAATAGATATAAATTTCATTAAACTATATTTTTCTACATATATAGGTGGTGACTTCTCACATGGAGAGTAAACTGGGCTAAAAGTAAAAAGTAAAAGTACCAGTAACTTTAATAAGAAAATTCAGTGCTGAATACCACTGAACAATTTCTTAAAGATGGTTATATCGCAAAAGAGTCTAAAAAGTTCAGGCAGGGGATCGTAACGTGGATTGGTTCCATACACTTTTAAAAAAGAAAAAAAAAAGAAAATGGGGGAAGTCGTGGCCTAATGGTTAGAG